TCCCAGGAACAAGCTGGAATTACAACTGAAATATGGAAAAGCTTCCTGAATAATCAATGGAAAACTCACAGGAGAGAACCCTGATACCTAAGAAACAAAGCATAGAAACTGGTAGGAGGGGCAGAGGTGCAAAAGGGCTGGCTGGGCACCCATAGACGGCAACTGAAGTCCCGGAGAGATATCTCAGCTGTAAGGAGGGTGCCACTAAGAACTCTGGGATCTAATCCCCAAGCTGGGCTCCCCAGCAGAGAGCACCAAATCTGAGGAGGGTACCCACATAACATCTAGCTGTGAAAAGCAGTGGGGTGCTGTCTGCCAAGGAGTGGCAGCTAAAAGTTCGAGCACCCTATCTTAAAGGGCCAACGCACAAGAATTCCCTGTGGAGCCACCTTGTGCTCTGGCAGAGGGAGGGTAAAGTGGACTGGAGCTGTGAGAGCAGAAACCAGGACTGGGGACTCGGGGTATAAAGCTCAGAAGGCAGACACTCCAAGTTTCCTGGGCTCGGTATTTCCCTCACCTAGTGGAGGACAACTTTCCCACATAGACACTTGCCTTGCCTTGGGGAAGGCAGTCGACACACCCTATTGGAAAACACCTTGCCCTGAGGCCACTTAAGAGATTAAAAGTAACATTAGCCTGCAGGCAGAAGCAACTGCCCCACCTTGTTGGGAAAACTCTTGCCACACCTGATGATTGCCTGGGTGCAATTCAAGTAAGAATCTTATTATCTGGAGACAGAGGAGGTCTCTGGAGGCTTTGAGTCTTAGCCTGATCCAATTAGTCAGAAACAGCCTTTAACACTGTCCTGCACTAGAGATTGAGAGGTATAGAGCAGTGGTCACCAATCTTTCGGACCTCATGGACCACTGGTATAGAGGATCTACCTAAAACATAGTCACAAACCAAAACAGACAACCAAAATGAGGAAACAAAGTAACAACCTCCAAATGAAAGAATTAGCAAATTCTCCAGAAGAGATAAATGAAGCAGAGATAAGAAACTTATCTGAGCCGAACCGGTTTGGCTCAGTGGATAGAGCATCGGCCTGCGGACTCAAGGGTCCCAGGTTCGATTCCGGTCAAGGGCATGTACCTTGGTTGTGGGCACATCCCCAGTAGGGAGTGTGCAGGAGGCAGCTGATCGATGTTTCTCTCTCATCGATGTTTCTAACTCTCTGTCCCTCTCCTTTCCTCTCTGTAAAAAATCAATAAAATATATTTAAAAAAAAAAAAAGAAACTTATCTGAAACAGAGTTCAGAGTAATGATGGTAAAAATGCTCAACAGTATGAAAAAAGGTATAGTAACTATGAAAAAAGAACAGTCTGAGATAAAAAATGACATAACACAAATAAAGAACACATTGGAAAGAATACACAGCAGATTAGGTGAAGCTGAGGATCGGATCAGTGAATTAGAAGACAGTTGAAAATATCACTCAATTAGAGAACCAAAAAGAAAAAAAACAATTAAAAAACAGGACAGCTTAAGGGAGCTGTGGGACAACGTGAAACATAACAATATTAGAATAGTAGGTGTGCCAGAAGATGCAGAAAGGTAGAAAGGAATAGAGGTGTTTGAAGAAATAATGGTATAAAACTTCCCTAACCTGGTAAAGGAAAAAGTCACACAAATTCCGGAGGCACAGAGAACCCCAAACAAAAAGAACCAAACAGACCCACGCCCAGACACATAATAAAAATGCCAAAAATTAAAGACAAAGAGAGAATCTTAAAAGCAGCAAGAGAAAATTGTTACCTACAAAGAAGTTCGCAGAAGGCTGACATCTGATTTCTCATCAGAAACTATACAGGCCAGAAGGGAATGGCATAAAGTATTCAAGGTAATGGAAAGCAAGGATCTGAGCCCAAGATTACTCTATCCAGCAAGGTTATCATTCAAAATAGATGGTCAAATAAAGAGCTTCCCAGACACAAAAAAAAAGCTAAAGGAGTTCATCACCACCAAGCCAGCATTACAAGAAATGCTAAAGGGATTGCTGTAAGGGATTGCTGAGAAGAAACACAGAGAGAAACCTAGCCATACAGAATTTAAATGGCTATAAATAAGTACCTCTCAATGATACCCTAAATGTAAATGGATTAAATGTTCTAATCAAAAGGTATAGGGTAGCTGAATGGATACAAAAACATGACCCAACTATATGCTGTCTACAAGAGACCCACCTCAAAACAAAAGACACACACAGGATGAAAGTGAAGGGATGAAAAAAAAAACTTTCCATGCAAATGGAAAAGAAAAAAAAGCTGGAGTAGCAATACTCATCTCTGACAAAACAGACTTTAAAAGCATCGTGCTAAGCAAAATAACGCAGTCAGAGAAAGATAAATATCATATGATCTCACTAATTTGTGGAATATAATGAACATAAACTGATGAACAAAAATAGAGCCAGAGAGGGAAACAATATATACTAGAAGTAATCCTGTTATTTGCAAATTTTTAATATTTCCTACAACTTTTGTGATATCATACTATGTTAGTACAGTTTTGGTATTATTATACTTAAAATCCTCTTATTCTTGAAATATTAATGTTTACTGCATGTAATATTATATGTAAGATAATTTTTCTTGAATTGGTGTTTATTGCATGTAACATTATCATATTTAAAATCATTTTTGAGATATTAATGTTTACTGCATGTAACATTATTATATTTAAGATTGTTTTTCTTGAAATATTAAAGCTTATTGGATGTAACATTAAAATATATATATCTTTAAAAAATAAAAGAGCATTTGTAAACTCTAGATAAAAGCAGAAGATGGCACAAAGAGTGAAACAACAACAAAAATTAAATTAAATTTAAAAAAAATAAGAGGGCACAGAAAATAGCTTACAAGGTAAGCTATATAAATTAAATCCACCTGGTAAAGAAAGTTTCTAAGATGTGAATAAAAAGAGTTAACTATTAAGAATGTTCATCAAAAAAAAAAAAATGTTTGTCAACGATATTTTTATAAAGAAAAACTGAGAACAGCCTATATATGCTACTTCTAAAAGATTAAATAAATGATACATCCATACAATGCAACCATTTAAGGTAACAGAAAATATTTATTGATAAAAAGGTATTTTTGGCATAGTTATTTTTTTAAAGCAGGTTACAAAATTGAATGTACAGTATGATCCCACCTTTTGTGAAAAATAAACATATATATACACAAATAAGCATACATAAAACTAGCTGGAAAGATATACCAACCTATTAACAGTGGTTATCACAGCTGGTGAAATTACGGTGATTATATCTTCTTCTGGCTTACTAGTAATTTCTCATTTTTCTAAAAACATACAGATATCCCCCACTTTTCAAAGTTCATTTTACACCACTTCGCTTTTTCAAAAAACCTATATTAGTACCTGTTTTCGCTAACCAAAAGAAATCCAAAGAGGATTTAAACTTTTACGAGGAAAATCAAAAAGTGAAATAGCATTCAGCATGTGTCTTGCAATAAGCAATTATTATTGAGCAGTTAATATTGAACAGTGAGAATGGCCCCAAGCTCCTTCACCAGGAACTGTACTCAGCATCTCAGCGTTAGCCACCATGGCTTTGAACTGTGTCTATGAGCATCTGTGCTTTATCTCCATTTATTTTGTGCATCTGCTAGCAAGTCCCTAAAGTAACTGCTTCTTCACTTTATACCATTTCAGCTTATGAAAGGTTTCATAGGAACACTCCAATTTCAGATTGTCGGGAAACTCATATTAATTTGATAGTAAGAAAATTATTTTTTTAATATAAACAAGAACTAAAACAGGTACAGCACTACTTGTATCAACATTTCCAAAATAAATTCTCAAGTCAGCAGTTCTCAACCTGTGGGTCGAGACCCCTTTGGGGGTCAAATGACCTTTTCACAGGGGTCACCTAAGACCATTGGAAAACACATATATAATTACATATTGTTTTTGTGATTAATCACTATGCTTTAATTATTTTCAATTTGTAACAATGAAATTGGGGGTTACCACAACATGAGGAACTGTATTAAAGGGTCGCGGCATTAGGAAGGTTGAGAACCACTGCTCAAAATACATAAGATGCATCAGTTCTTAGAACTTCAAATTTGGAGACTTTCTCCTCAGTCTCCAAATGCTAAGCGATAAGAGCCAAGAAAATTTAGAAATTATATATATAAAGAAATGCATATACAAAGGGAAGTTAATAAGAATCCTCAGACAGGGAGTTACTATAAGAAGTCTGCATCATTTATCAAACCACCACCAACCAAACAACCAACAATGTTTAAGACACTATTCCAATGTATTCCAAATGCCTCTGGTTGAAAGTTTGAAAAGCAACTACATTATTCACGCACTGAGGAGAAGATCTTCAATCACCAACTTTGAGGGGAAAGGAAGAAAGGGGCAAAAGTCACACTAAAATGTGATGGATCTCAAAATTCCATGAGAATTCCATATTCGGGGTCCAAACACATCTGTAAGAGACTCAAAGGTCAGTTATAATTATGGCAAATGCTAACCCAATCCTAGATGGGCTTCTGTTAACAGCCAATATAATTCTGGACCACCTGTCTAGCCCATCAATAATATAAAATTCAAATAATAATTCAACAAAAACTACTTTCAAATGAGTCTATGAACAGCACTCACAAACAACAGTATAGCAGAAAACATACACATATAAATGTTTCAACTATATAAAATTGTACATACACCTAGACAAGGGCTGAAACAAAAAGTAAATAATTTGATAGGATCTTGGGACTGTGAGATATTTTAATTCCACTATTGTAACATAACCAAACCAAGAAATGTTTTAAAATAAAGTTTATAATATAGTCATTAACCAAATATAATTTATTCCTAGACTAAATACATTGTTTTCAACTAAACACATAAAGCAGTCTCAAAAACATACACATTTATATAAACCATCTAACACCTGGAAAAATACCTTACTACTGTACTAGTCATCCAATATCAAAAAGATGAGATTTTGAAAACTCACCATTCAGGCCCAAAGTTCAGTGTCTGTGTTTCCGCTGCCATTCTTTTCGGTATGTTTACAAGACTTTTATATGTGGAGAAACCTGTTAAAGAGAAAAATATCTCCATACAGTTAGTCAAGATTAAATGCAGAATTCCAGCCAAGAAAGTATAGCTAGGGAGTGTGTTTTGCTTATGCTCCTCTCAACCATAGTCACCAGATGAGGTTTTTAAATCCCTGTTTATAACAATATAGCAGGCAAAGTAAAATTAATATAATCACCCTTACATTCCAATTCACCATCTTTTTATATTTATCTAAAGAAAGGAGGCATGGTATTTGATGAAGCTAGTGAGATAGAGGGGAACAGACCATGCAGAGCACTGGAGACCTAATTAAGGATTTTCTACTTTCACCTTAGAGCAGCGGTTCTTAACCTGCGAACTCATTTTTTTGGTTGATTTTTCTTTGTTAAATGGCATTTAAATATATAAAATAAATATCAAAAATATAAATCTTTGTTTTACTATGGTTGCAAATATCAAAAAATTTCTATATGTGACATGGCACCAGAGTTAAGTTAGGGTTTTTCAAAATGCTGACACGCCGAGCTCAAAAGGTTCGCCATCACTGAACTAAAGAGACCAACATTACTCAGAATGGAGTTCTGCTCATTCTCCTTTATGAACTAAAGCAAAAATATAAGAGTTATGACTCCTGAAGAAATCTCATTTAAATTCTTGAAGTACTGTAATCACTAATTCCAAATTCTACACCTCAGATTGCTCCTTCTAAATCAATTTAAATGAGCCCAGTTCTAATGTATTTATATGTCCTGGAGGGATTGTCTTACATGATGCCTCTGAATTATAAATTAGTCAGAATGGAAACTAGGCTTTTTTTCCTCAATTGTCCTTTCTAAGGATGCAGTGAGGTATTAAAATGAGTATAGGCTTCACCACCATTTAAACCCCACTACACTAAATGTTAACTCAAACCCCCACGAGACTTGTGACCATGAGAAAACAGCTCTGCATTCTGACAGGAGTATCTGAACCAGACTCTAGAATCTAGAGATGCTATGTTCCCACCATGTGCTTTTTCTTGAAACCATTTCCTCCTTTATCCACCAAGATCAGAACAATATTGTTACTTTTTCCTATCTTCATTTCCTTCCTATGTAGTCAGCATTCCCCAAAAGTTTCTCCATTTCTAACTTTCATCAGTGTACCCATGTTTTATTTAACTATAAATTCTGTTTAGATATTGTCTTGAACATCTTGTTATTTCTCCACTAACACTTTGGGTAGAACTCTGCCTACTAAATCACAGGGAATACCATGCAGGGAGTGGGGGTGTCGCTACAACAGCAGCAATGAAAAATACTCCCACAAATTTCTAAATTGCCCAGCTTCCTGAGGAGATGCCTCGCCCCTATTGTAAATTACAGATTTCTTTTCTGCCATGACCTGTGTGGCATTTCCAGATGTTTGTTCCTCCTGGATACCTATCTCATCAACAACTGATCAAGGTACCACTGTTTTTTACAATTCACCGATAAGCCAGGCTCAAAACCCCAGAGTTATCTGAAACTCCTTTTGCTTCTTTCTCTCATATCCAATCATTTTGTCTCAAATTTGGTCAATTTCTCCTTCAAAATCCCTCTTGCATTTTTTTTCATTATAATGGAACCTTTAAGTCATGTCTAGATTATTAGAATAAAACTTCTAATTGGCTTTCTTGACTCAATCTCTAACTATTCACATCCCAAAAGATCAACCTTCCTAAAGCACTGCTCTGGTCATGCCTACCCCTCTTTAAAATAATTAAACCTGCTGTGCATCATCAAAACTCCTAGTAAAGACATCTAAAAGACCATAATAGACCTTGAACTTCAGTGTAGAGTAGGGCTGGGGAGACACAGATTTTGAAGTAAATTTTCAGAACTATAACCAAAAATTGAAAGAAGAGAAAAAGCATATAGCTAGATATCTCTGGCCCTAACCTTTCTCCTAAACTCAAATTCACTGATTCTAGCTTTGTCTACACTGACTGTATCAAAAAAACAGAAAGGGGAAGAGCTAGATTCTTTTGGGAGATTTCCATTTCATCAATAAGACTAAAAACTACTAAAGTGAAGCTTGATAAAGCAGTGGCCATATAATTGAAGCCATTGTATTTTATACCCCAATGGCAATGAAAAGCTATATAAAAAGATTCAGGCAAGGAAGTGTCCAGGATTAAATCTGCACTTCAGAAAGATCATTCAGGATGCCAGGAGGAGAAAGAATTAGCAAGAGCTAAAGTGAAAAGAGGGTATGAGAAATCCAGCATATACTGTGGAAGCCAGATCTACAGAGCAGTAGAGGAGAGAGATGATAACTGTACTCACTGACATGAAAAGATGTCAACAATATATTGTGTCCAAGGCAGATTATGGAATACAGAGAATATAATCATATTCAACACATTTTAAAATACATACAGGGTAGCCAAAACCGGTTTGGCTCAGTGGATAGAGCGTCGGCCTGCGGACTGAAAGGTCCCAGGTTCGATTCCGGTCAAGGGCATGTACCTGGGTTGTGGGCACATCCCCAGTAGGAGATGTGCAGGAGGCAGCTGATCGGTGTTTCTCTCTCATCGATGTTTCTAACTCTCTATCTCTCTCCCTTCCTCTCTGTAAAAAATCAATAAAATATATTAATAAATAAACAAATAAATAAATAAATAAAATACATACAGGGTGGGGCAAAAGTAGGTTTACAGTTGTTCATATGGAAAATAATACAATAATAAATACTAATACAAGAATAAATCGTGTTTCACATACAACTGTAAACCTACTTTTACTCCACCCTGTATATATACTGAAACCTACATAATTTTATTAATCAACTAGTAGCCCAGTGCACAGATTCGTGCACATTGAAAGGAAATTAATTAGAAGAAATATTTTAATATCGCTATTCGCCCTTTCTCTATAACAGAAGTGTCAGAGATGAAAGAAAATTAGTAAAATGTATATGAAAATAATATATAAGTTGATTAATAAACAATAACAACATGATATAACAGCAAAGACGACATAAAAACAACAAAAACATGATATAAAAGCAACAAAAACATGATATAAAAGCAACAAAAAAAGATACAAAAACATTGATAAAAACAATGACTGATAAATTGATTAAACTTATTCTAATGTCTCCTTGTATACCACGTTAAGAGGAAAAACACTTTCAAAGTGCTTGACTAATTTCCCTTGTGATGAAGTATTTACAACTTCAACGTCACATGTTCTTTGAACTCGAGAGAAAGCAACATATAACTGACCATGTCCGAAAACAGGTTCAGGTAGAAATATTCCTACTTGGTCTAGAGTTTGTCCTTGTGATGTATTAATAGTCATCGCAAATGCTGACATCACGGGAAACTGTCTTCAAATTAATTTAAATGGGAGGCCAGTGTCAGATGGGGACAAATCAATTCTTGGAATCAGAACCACCTCTCCTTCTGCAGATCCTATTAATACTTCAGTTTTGATTACATTAGGTCGCAATCTTTTATCGAAACACATGCATGCACTGGTGCCAGCGAGAGCTTTATATGTATCACACGTGCGCGAGTCAACATTTATTTTTAAATTTCCAGTGCACGTCATATGTCCAGGCCGGTTGGTCAGTCACTTAGCCTTTTATATATATACTAGGGGCCCAGTGCATGAATCTGTGCACCTAGAAAGGAACTGTGGGCCATGAGGCTGTGGTAAGCACAGGGTTGGGTCTCGGCCCATCCTCCGTGCCCCTGCCTAGCCCCTCCCACCACAGCCCCTGGCTCTCTGTATGCCAGCAGCTCCACTCCTGTTGCTGCTGCTCCTACACACTGAAGGTGCTGGTCCTGCTCACACCCACTGGCTGCGTGGAGCAGTTGGGGCTGGCGCCGTCAGTGGGTGAGAGCAGCAGCTGCTGCCCTGATCGCCCCTCAGGGGCAAGGGGAGGTGGAGACGCCCTTAGGGGTGATCAGGGCCGGCAGCCACCGCTCGCACCCTCTGATGGCACAGAGCAACTGGGGTCGGCACCAGCAGTGGGTGTGAGCAGTGTTGGTGTGGGCAGTGGGTGTGAGCGGTGGCTCTGGCGCCAGCAGTGGGTGTGAGCGGGGCCGGGGCCGGCGCCAGTAGCAGGTGTGAGCGCCAGGCCGGACCACAGTGCACAGGAGCAAGGAATTTTCAGTAACCAGAGTCTTGCCCCAATGACAGCGACTGGTGCCTCGCCTTGGTCTGGCATCCCTGCTCACCTGCTCCACCATCTTACAGCGGCCAATGCCCGCCATGTTCCACACTCTGCTGCCTGCTGCTGATGCCTGCCATGTTCCACATGCGCCCCCTGGTGGTCAGCACATGTCATAGCAACCGGTTGTTCAATTGTTCCACCCTTTGGTCTATTTGCATATTAGTTTTTTATTACATAGGATAGACGTCACCCCCATAATCATAAAATTTAAAAATAAATACTATATATATACTAGAGCAGCAGGCACAAATCATGTACTGGGGGGGGGGGGGGGAGATTCCCTCATCCTGGCCTGCACCCTTTCGCAGTCCGAGATCCCGCGGGGAGTGGGCCTAAGCCGGCAGTCAGACATCCTTAGTACTGCCGCAGAGGTACGAGAGGCTTCCGCCTCTGCCACTGTGCTCACCAGCCGTGAGCCTGGCTCAGGGCTTCTGGCTGAGCAGTGCTCCCCGTGGGAGCGCACACTGACCACGAGGGGGCAGCTCCTGCATTGAGCGTCTTCCCCCTAGTGGTCAGTGCACATCATAGCAACTGGTCATTCTGCCACTCAGTTGATTTGGATATTAGCCTTTTATTATATAGGAAGGATGCCACAAGATGTTAATGTTTTTACTTCTGAATGGTGGAATTATGGGTAATCCTTTCCTAGTAAGTTTCTAATTTGTGTATACAACAAGGATAGTTCTGGTACAATTTTTTTTTTTAATGGAAGAATTCAAAAGTCTCAAATGTTTAAGTCAAAAAGAGAAAGACTAAAAAGTCTTCATTGGCTTCCACAATGAAATCATTGGTGATTTGAAGAGCACAGTATAGA